CCCAGCTGAGTGCATAAGGACAGGTCGGAATTAATTTTCATACCTTTGCCCGGCATGACTAAACGCTGGGTAGTAAACGGTGCAAGTTATTGATAAAAAAAGCTTGCTTTCTGAACACTGGAATATCAGCAGCAAATAATGTGTTAAAGTGGTGCATAAAGGTGGCGCATAAACGATTTGTACTCCGCATAAATGACCACAAAAATCTGTAGTCGTATTGGTGCAGAACTGTTTTCTGTAAAAATACACACCCGATCAATGCGAAAAATTGCAGATTTCTGGTTTATCGCACGAGTAACATGGAACAAACTTCACTTTTATTGTCAAAAATCACGGAACGATTGATCAGGAGGGCTCGCGAGCAGGAGGTTCGTTGAATTTTATTGTTAACAATGGAATGTTCTTCTAAAAAACAAACGATAATGGGCTATTTCCAGCTGGTCGGGATGAGCTTTGAGGATTTCCAAAAGCAGTCCAAAAAAACTCAGCGCCGCTCCGTCAAAGACATATTTTTGCGCCAACTTCTGGTGTGCCCGCAAATGAGTATTCAAAAAGCATCGCTGGTCACCGATCGCTTTCCGTCGTTCGCATCACTGACACGCCTGTATTCGTCTCTTCCAAAGGAACAACGGGCAACAGCTCTGTCCGAGAATGTTCCCGGCATATCCAGAGGAGCGAGTGCAAACATGGCAAAATTCTTCGGTAGAGTGTGACTAGTGAGTGTTTTGCTAGCAACCTGCTTTATGTCTGTGCCATCCTTATGAGAGTGAAAGTATCTCACTGACGAAACTACGCTTTTCCCTTTCTTTGGCTTTATTTCCACCTGGATAATTTTGTGCCCAAATTTAGCACCCTGAAATTTAAGTCTTTTTAGCGCAGTTATGGCTTTTTTGCAGAACTTTGACTAGTTCGAAATATCCCATCCTGTTGATTCTACTTTTCTTCTTTACCAACAGCGTTTATATCTGTAAATTCATTTAAGCTTGATCGCTATGATGAGATGTTGTAATACCAAAACTGGCTGGGCAATCTGTGTAGAGAATCTCCCTCTCTCTCCTTTTAACTATTGTAAAATCATATTGTGCGAAAAGACGGGTAATATGCCATTTATACAGCTGACAATCTCTTATTTCCATACATGTCTCTCTTTCCATCTATTTCTGTTTCTAGCCGCCTATTTTGATTCCTCTTACTGAGTATTCCTTTTGTACGCTTTGTGTTTCCTTTATACTTGTATATTCCTGAATGGATAACAACAACAATAAGTAATTACAACCGGTAAAAAGATAAGTCAAGTAAGCGCAGCCTCCC